AACTGGGAAACCATTAATTGGCTGATTAAATAAGAAGAATAAATGACAAATTTGAAACATTTGTAAAACGAGGTGATCCATAGAACTACAAATCAGTAAGTACTGGATAATTTGGTTTAAAAAAATATTTCAAATTAATTAGTGGACACAGATATACATAGTATATATAAGAGAAAAATGCCTGAGAGCCCCCGTAAAAGAACATCATCATTAACAAAACTTTGAAGCAACCAACAACTACGAAAAAAATAGTAACTGCTTGATCTGCTTGCTTTTTGAAATTAATTTCCACTAGGTCCTTTCCCAAGATCTGATTTTCACACACAGCTGTTATCAGATACTTAGACACTAACTTCAGTTCTGCATGAGAATTAGATCAAACTGAGAAAGATTCTCCTGTTAAGTCAAAGCGTCATAATCCTGGCGACTAAAGGTTTATTTTTTAATGAAGTCTCTAAAATCTACATGATTTCATTGTATCTGCCCAAAGCAAAGAGATTTTTGAAGCTTTGTGCATATTACATTTCCAATTATACTTTTTTAGCTTTAAGTTACCCATGGGACTTGATATTGGTGAAATATGATGTAATTAACCAAAATAGCCTCAAAAATAAGGATGCTGCCTACAGATATCACCATAATATCATATTATTAACAAAAGATCTAAGATTAATTATTTAAGATTTATCCTTTTAAGGGACTGAGGAGCATTAACTTTGTCTTTCCACATGAAATACGAAAACAAAGCAAAATCCCAAATCCCCTTGCCATTGCAGTCATTGTAACTTTGTAATTTCAAGAGAATGGGATTTTTCCCATGGCAACCTGCGACAATGCTGCAGTCTTTTAAGTTATTATTTTCTTAAGCTCTTGGGGAACCTCCAATCACAATTCTCCAGTTAACTGAGATTTTAAATATTCTCTATCTCATAAATGGGACTTAATGACGATTCTGACTTGAAGCCTACTTTCATTCATTTTAACTAAATTAAGATCTCACCTACAGAATTAAAACATCTTTTTAATAGTTATCTGTCTTCTGAAGAGAACTACGGTGAAGTGATTAGTACAACATCGTTAGAAAGTGAATACTTTGGAAGCAACAGACTCCTCAAATAAAGTGAATGGCAGAGACCCGCCTGCGTGTTGGAAAAGTACATGAAGGATCCAGAGATGGACAGAAATTCTTCTCCAAAATAATTACTGGAGGAAAATCTCCCAAGATCAGGACCTTCTGTAAATATAAAAATTCCAAGTAAGTAGCATTTGAAATACGAATGGAAAGGTTGCTGATTTGAATTTAAAACCTCAGATTTGGGATTTCTGCAAGTACTGTGTATGAGTCCCAACAGTTTTTAAAAAGGAGGAGTAGGGAGTACATCTCAAATTCCAGAATGAAATGTTTTTCAACATTTTGCATCCTCATAAGCATGAAAATGATTGCTTATACTTGCTGAAGGTTCAAATGTACTTAAAACAACAAGATGCAAAACACTAACTAGCAAATATCAGCTTACAATCACATTGCCAATTTGCCTTTACCATAGTAACTCAAAGACATTAGAAACTAAAACACTACAATTACATTAGAAACTAAAGAAAGCTCATGAAAAATATTTCTCTAGCGTCTGCCTCATACAAAGGGCTTACATTTCCAAAGCTTTTATTCCCACACACACTTCACGGCAATGCAGAGGCAAAGTTATGAGCAGAGGCTCTACAGATCTCCATCTCTCATCCGCAATAACGGTATCTCTCTTGTCAGTAATAACGTTTTCTGGCACAGGAAACACTCACTTCCCTGAAAAAACGACAGGCACACTGGCAC